TCTCTCTCTCTCTCTCTCTCTTTCTCTCTCCCTGTCAAAGCTCTCGCAACTTTAAGCCATTGGTGCACGATCTTCACTTTGTCTTTATGCATCTCTTTAAATGGCGTGTTTTCCTGACTAACAGTGACTGTTTTCAACAACTACAGTAATACACGAATTACGTTACATTATGTTTCTGCTTTCAGGTCTTTTTGCCCACAGGCATGAAAGTAACGATATCTCGAAGCAGACAACCTTTTATCAATATTTACGTCACTCCTTCGTCCCCTGATTTCGAACGCTCCGAAGGTATACCGATGTTGGTGTTTCCTACTTTAGAGTTTTGTTTTGCTTACTTATGCAACTCTAAATACAGCTTACGGTACTGATATGTCAATCTTAAACACTTATTTCCATGGTGTAAGCTATTCCGTAGCAAGTGTATTGCAATCTTAAACACGTATTTCCATGGTGTAAGCTATTCAGTAGCAAGTGTATTGCAATCTTAAACACGTATTTCCATGGTGTAAGCTATTCAGTAGCAAGTGTATGTCAATCTTAAACACTTATTTCCATGGTGTAAGCTATTCAGTAGCAAGTGTATTGCAATCTTAAACACTTATTTCCATGGTGTAAGCTATTCAGTAGCAAGTGTATTTCAGAACTTTGTGGAGAGCTAGATTGCTTGTGCGAGCTGCCAACAGTTAAACAACAACTCGAAGTTTTAAGTTTTCACAGTCCGACTTGGCATCCAAAACAATTATACATCCTAAATACAGACGTCAAACTGCATCTCTTTCGAGGAAACAAAATTAATACTACATTATTTTTTCCTCAATTCGTAGTGCTCGTAATAGTGCATGGATTTATCGTTCAATAACATTACCACAGGTTTATTAGAATGACCAGTCACACCTCAATGCTGCACATTTCATGGATAAGTTTAACTCTTAATGTGTAGGTCTAGATATCTAAATTACTCTGAGCATAGTTAGGATATTCAAAGATTAAGATCATTTGAATTGACACAAAAGGGGAAAACGAAGTTTGTGTGATTTATCACGTGGGTCAAGCAGTTGTATCCAGGGTATAGATTTGCAGTTAGCTTTTTTAAGTCTGGGCTTCATTTTAAGCATTGGTGACAAGTATTCTATTGATAATTATGTTAGTGAGGGCGCGGTTGATCCGACTAGGGAAAGCACATTTCTGTCCATATTTGTTTTAATGGTTAACCTCAGTTTATAATGGTATTTTCAAACAATATCTTGGACCTATCTGATAATTGTTTGGAGGCAAATAAGCTCAAATTCCGCATATGTGAAAATCATATCAAAATGCTAACACAATGTATATCGTCAGGCATCTGTTCATGCATTTTATCAACTGTTAATTTTGTTTTCTTTTGTTCACTTATTTACTTGCGTCTATGTTAGCTCTCTCTCTCTCTCTCTCTCT